TGTATTTTTGTAATGGATTCATGTATGAACTTTACAGAGGATATTACCTTACAAGTGTCTCCACATTCACCCTTGGTAGACACAACACTGAGAGCTAAAAATAAATATGTTTAAATAAATACAGCGGTAGCCAATTATATCAATACATTGAAGATAACTTTCGATTTCAATTTTAATTTTATCAAGCTGTTAAACAGCATGGAGACACATCTATACATATTCTTGCTTGTCTGTTTGTCTGTTCCCAATAAACGTCAAACCGACTGAACTAAACTTTTTGTGTGACCTCACATGATTCCATTCAAAGGAAGGTTTATATATGCTTAGAGTTACAAAAAGTTGCCCCCAAAACTTTTCTATTTTCGTAAAATTTTGAAAATCCGCGAAAAAAATTAAAAATTCAAAAATTTTAAAATTTTGTCTTTTTTTGAAGATTTGTGATTTGAAAAAAGCTTTAATTAAAAATCAAATGTTAAATAAAAAAATGTTTTCATTGTAATGACAGAAATAAATTACTTAATTTGAATTAATTAAGAATAACAACTTTGTAATGAACATTTCCTGATATTATTTACTAAATTAACATGAAGAATGTATACTGTATATATACTGTAAAAGTGTAATGAATGTTTCTCTGATATTATTTACTAAATTAAATTTTGCCCAAATATTGGTTAATTCATATTAAGAACTAAATCTAACATGTCATTGATGACAAATAAGTGCAAAAGAAATAGTTTGCTTGATTTTTAGGTTATATAACTTTATGCAGCATAGAGAAATAGAGAAATAGAGAAATAGAGAAATAGAGAAATAGAGAAATAGAGAAATAGAGAAATAGAGAAATAGAGAAATAAAATCAAAAAGCATATTGAAGCTTGTCCCTAGTCAGCTTTATTGCTAGAACTTTCAAAACCTTTGTAAATTATCTTAAAGCCATCATAAAGTATAAATTAACAATTTCGATCAGCATATATATCTGCATATGGGTTTTTAAATGAGAGGCAAAGATAAAAATTATTTAGCCTATTTTTGGCTTGAAAAGGCCATAATTTTACAATTATGGGATGATTTTGTAGAAAATAGTAGATTATGAGCACACAAATTACAAAATCTGTTTTTCATATGATTGTAATAAAGTTCATTCCTTTAAAAAAGCTCTACCTTTAAATCTGACCATATAGGAGAAACTGAAATGTGCTTTATTCATAAATTTCTCTATGCGCACAGAGCTGCTTAACCTACAAATCAAGCCAATTTGTTTGCTTTTGAAATTTTCCTTCTTGGGTGTAACATGTAAGATGTATTTATCAAAAACTAGTTAAGAAACAATGTATTGAGATTAAATGATAAACCCTTGGGCTGCGCCCTTGGGTTTATCATTGAATCCCTCGGGGGTTTAAATTTCCATTGATTCTAATTTGTCTGAGAGTAAATGACAACGATCCTTTGTAAAAAATAACAAATTATGTTTATTATTAATTATTATTTTTAAAAGGGGCGGGATTAAATGAAAATTGTTGCATACCAAAAAACCATCTTTTATAAAGGAATGTATCATTTACTCTCAGACAAATAGATTCTAATTTGTCGGAGAGTTAATGACATTCCTTTGTAAATATGTTTGGATTTTTAGTACATTTGATAAATCAAAAAGACCTAATATTTGAGTAGTGAGCTTGAGAAGTAGATTATTTTGTTGGAAAGAAAATACAAATGAAAAATAACTTTTTTGAAATTATAGAAACACAGAAATTCTTTTTAAGAATGCAATTCTAGGAATTTTCTTTGTATTTAACTAATCTCCTTTAATTTCAAGAGGTGGCGCCCTAGGCCCTATGGGTGAGCTAAGGTATAGGGCTGCGAGAAGGCAGATCCCTGCCTGCTCCCAGAAGTGCCATGCAGACCCTATATTCTAACTCTTTTTTCGAAAACATTTACTTTATTTTTTTTAATATTTAAAAAAAAATATTTTATACAAGTGTTTCATTAAAGTTAATTTATCAAGGATACATATGTGTCTTGTAAAATTCAATACAACTTACTTTTTATATATTTCATGACTTGGACGGTTCTATTCAAATATAAGTCATTAGCCAGGAATGAAAAGATCTCTTGAATTACTAGTTAACATGAAATAAATTTAAAGTGGAAAATAAAATAAAAAATTTAAAACATTTGGACAAATAAAATTTTTTTTTAATTGAANATAATAAAATAATATAGAAATGAGAAAATGCTGAATCTCGAGTGCCATGTCGGATTCACAACAGTTCCCTTTAAACCAAAATCTTGTCGATAATGTAGAAGATATACTGTCGTCTTCTAGCTTGAAATTATCACTTTTTCCTCCTTGGGTTCTGCTGCAAGAAAACTTACGTAAATTTCACAGAGCAACCACAATTATAAATAACGAATTTTTCAAAGAGAAATTATGAATATCCGTGCAAACATTTGGTAAAAAATTTAGCCTTTGTTCTCCCCAGTTCACTAGCTTAAGTCTGATTCATTTATTCAACCAGGCCGATATCTAACCAGGTAGAACGAGCTGTATAGTACACATACAGATTATATCAGGCTAAACAGGACAGTACACCGAATGAACCAGCCCCTACAGGAAAATTTACCCATGGACTTTCTTAAATAATGTCAGCCAATTTGGTTTAGCCGTTTTGGCCAGATATAGCCAACATAAAAATAAGGGAAAAGCTTTATTATATACAGGGTGAGTCAAATAACGCCCTTTCTTGAATAACATAAAGTAATATTTTTAGTAATCACATTTTATTATTTCTATCACATCTTAAATTATTAAACAGATCAAACGAATAGTTTTGAAGAAAATGAGCAAAATAAAAATTCAGAAAATCCGTAATTTTTCATTTGAAAAAATCATTTTCATGATTTTTATTTTCTGAAATTCTTTTTAAAATATGAATTTTTAAAAAAGGGAAAATTATAATAATAGGATAATACGCATAAAAGAGTGTAATATTAAATATGTTGATTTTTTTAATTTAATTTCGTGCATTTTCTCCAAACTACTCATCTGATCTGTTCAAGAATTTAATATGCGATAGAAATAATATTTGAGATTCTTTTTTAACCAATTTTAACTAACGTATTAATAGATAAATGGGTGAGAAATTAAGTGAAGGCCCTTCCAGTCAAGAAAACCAAAAATTTGTTGATCTAAATAATTAATCTGGAGACTAACCTAATCTCGAGATTATGTAAATCTCGAGATTAGCAAAATGAAAGTATTAAGCATAGAGAATAGAATATATAGAGAGGAATTTACTAGAAAAAAGTGTAAAACGGCCATTTTGTTGTACTGTTTCCATACTGCAGGTGTACTTCACATATGTATGCTATATAACCTGTTGGGCCCTGGAATATCATTTTATAGAAATCTAAAATTATTGTTAAAAGGAAACCAAATTATGAAATAGGCTGGTTTCATAATTGACCAATGATCATTTCACATAGACTCTATCCCTTCCACTTTATAAACGATGATTTTCCGTTATCACTATAAATCAAATGATGTTTTTATTCACCTAATTCATTATAAAGTTTATTTAACAGCTTTAAAAATTTTGAAATTGAAATGTTTAGTCTAGGGATCATACTGTGTTAATGTACTCTACTGCATATAATTTGTGATCATTTACATGATTTGTACACTTTGAACTTCCTTTCAGGCTGAAAGGGACTGAAAAAATTCATACCGAGAGATTTTTTTAATTCCTCTCTATATATTCTATTCTCTATGGTCTTAAGTAATCCAGCATTCTAAAGGTCCCAGCTCAGGAAACATTTAATTTTAAGGGTTTTAAATACTGGCCTAAAACTACTCAAATATCAGGTTTTAGGATTTATCAAATTGTACAAAAAATATGATCATTGTATGTTTTGACCCAATATTGGTTAATTCACATTGAGAACTAAATCTAACATGTCATTGATGACAAATATGCAAAATAAGAAATTGGCTTGATTTGTAGGTTATTTAGCTTCATGCACATAGAGAAATGTATGCAAAAAGTATATTTAAGCTTCCTCCTAGTCAACTTTAGTGCTAGAACTTTCAAAACCTTTGTAAATTATCTTAAAGCCATCATAAAGTATAAATTAACAATTTTGATCATCATATTTGTGTATCTGGGTTTTTAAATGAGAGGCAAAAATTATTTATTGTATTTTTGGCTTGAAAAGGCGTATACTATAAGTGTGGCCGTGGGACGATTTTGTAGAAAATAAGCAAATTACATATGATTGTAAGAAATTTCGTTGATGTTTTGAAAGCTCTATATCTAAATCTGTTAATTATATGATTGTAAGAAATTTCATTGATGTTTTGAAAGCTCCATATCTAAATCTGTTTATTATATGGTTGTAAGAAATTTCATTGATGTTTTGAAAGCTCTATATCTAAATCTGTTAATTATATGATTGTAAGAAATTTCATTGATGTTTTGAAAGCTCTATATCTAAATCTGTTTATTATATGATTGTAAGAAATTTCATTGATGTTTTGAAAGCTCTATATCTAAACCTGTTTATGATATGATTGTAAGAAATTTCATTGATGTTTTGAACGCTCTATATCTAAACCTGTTTATGATATGATTGTAAGAAATTTCATTGCTGTTTTGAAAGCTCTATATCTAAACCTGTTTATTATATGATTGTAAGAAATTTTATTGATGTTTTGAAAACTCTATATCTAAACCTGTTTATTATATGATTGTAAGAAATTTTATTGATGTTTTGAAAACTCTATATCTAAACCTGTTTATTATATGATTGTAAGAAAGTCCATTGATATTTTGAAAGCTCTAAACACAAATGTTTAATCATTTATCATTTCATTTATCAAAGGCTTTTTCAAGGCCTTTTCATCTTTACATATGTTTTTTTTATTAATTTGAAAATTCACTTTCTCAAAAACCTGAATTCTATGTGTACTGCAGCTTTGTTAAGAAATATGAGGTTAAGTCGTTTTTTGACGTTTATTGGACACAAACAAACAAACAAACAAATTAAGGACTTTGATTAAATTTTATTCACCATTTTCTCTACCATCAAAATACTTGGTTAAAGGGATTGTAGTGGTATTTTCAAGTGACACTCCCACATAAATTTCACTTGAAGGGGAT